TTTATATAAATCACACCTCTTTATAATCACGGTTTTTTGTATCCCGAAGGTGTGATTATAGAGGGGGATGACTGTATTAGAATTAATCAATATAATGAGGCTCTTTGTAACTTTTTACTATACTGACTAAGAGAATTATAATCAAATCTTTACTTTTAAATGTATTCACGTTAATTAACTTTATCAATATGAAGTCGTCGCGCTAACTAAGAGAATTATAAAAAAATCTTTGTCATAAATGTCTCTATTGTATTCTTTTTAAAATTTTCATCTAAAGAATACTATTGCGTCCACTAATATTTTAAAAACCTTCATCTAAAATAAAACTGCCGCGCACTATAAAAATTATTGTATTTTCAATTTTTAATAAAAATTAAAATGCACCCAGGAAAATAAAGAAAATTACACGGGAAATAACAAGAATTTCATTAGTGATAAGCCGAAAAATCTCGTCATGTGCTATATAGAAACGTGGAATAAATAGTACTTAAAAATATTTTAAATCGAGGCTTCGGTATACCTAATTTTTTAATTTGGTTCAATTTTGGTTATTGAATCTAAATTTGGATCAGTTAAAGCGGAGCTGGGCATTCCTAAAATCCAGTAAGTAGGGCTTGGAAGGCTTTCGCTTCGTTTCCTCAATTCTGGCCAATTGTAAACTTGATTTTTATTCATTTCCAAAAATGCGCTATTATTCGTTAACCATATCACCTGCACGAAACTTTATAAGCTCTATTAACGTTGGACACTGCATACAGTATTCCCAAAATAATATCCTACTACATAAAGTAAACCTCCAAACGAAATAATTATGTTCATGAATAATACCCAATTTTTAAAATAAAGTGAAAAAAATTTTATCAATTTGGATAGATGGTTGAGAAATAAATTAAAAATGTAAAATTTTCCCGATTTTAGATTTGTTTCTATTTTCAAAACTTTTAAAGATTTACGGAATTCTCAAATAAGATCTTGGTTGATGAATGCTGTGGATAAACAGAAATTTTCTCGTTAAGCCAAAAAACGGTTTGCCGCAAGATCCCGTTAATCGATAATCTTGACCCATTCTAGTAAACTAAGCCTTTACATACATGCATTTAAAAATTTGATCATTGAAACAAATTGTACAAGGCTATGTACATACATACAGTATTATCCATGGATTGGAATTGAAACGTGCTAGTCTTGGTTCGCATGATACTGTACGTATAATATACGTCATAAAAAAACGGGCTTCCTTATTAAGCAAATAAAGTAGCTTATGATGCAATAATTTCCTCTTCGATAATTCTCAATATTATTGTAACTCAATAATTCAATAAGGCTTCATAATAGATCATTTCCCCAACCAGCCGTCTCTCTTTGGGCTCTGCATTTGTGCCGGTAATACAAAACTTAAAATGGAACCAGTCAAAAAGTAAGCTTTGATTATCCAAACATGAGCAAAAATTTGAGAAAACTAATGTCAAAATAGATCTTGATACACTAATTCTGTAATTAAAAATGTTGGAAACGAATTTTTACATTTAACAAGATAATAATTTGTACAAATCTATAGCCTCTAACCTTAGCGTCTTTCCAGAAGCTTGTATTACCTGCACTAATTTATAAAGCCATACGGAAATAAAAACATCAGGTTACCGTTACGGTGTATTCCCGAGTACAGTAGTTACACATGATTACATAATCACAGATACATAAAGCGTTCCACAACTACACTGATCGTTATTTTTACTTTATTTATACGTAAATTGAAAAAAAAACATTTTGAAGTATTTTAAACGAAATGACTCGTAAATATTCTAATTCTAATTCTAATAATCAGCGGAACAATAATCCTAGAGGAAATCGAGGAGAAAAAAATCGAGGTTTGCTTAACATAAATTCATCTATAGGTTAATTCTGAATTCAACAATTCCGTCTACATTAGTGTTTTCAATTGCGTTGTAGGTAGAACTGTAAGCAAGAGCACTAATAACGACTTGCGTCGCAATAATCAGAATCATAACAACAATGAAAATCTTTCACAACGAACAAACTTAATTTCTCAAGACTCAATGATTGCTGTTGATGCTGACGAATTAGAACGACGTAGAAGAAGGGCTGAGCGGTTTGAAAAGTTTTTAGATCCACAACAATTAGTATGTATAATATTTAGATGAATTTTTTTCTTTTTTGTATTATATCTTTAATAATATTTATTTATTATCTGTTTTTTTTTTTTTTTAGGCTTCAACTGGAGCTGATGCAAGTTTAATTTCCAATAAAATTAATACTAATAGAAATAGTCGAAAGGGGGGCATGATTTTGAGCAAAGATAACAACACTAAAGATGATGTTAAAGAAAGCATCATAGCAGATGATTATAAAGAACTTACACAGATAGACATTGTATCAAATTTTTTTGAATTATTGTTATTAGAGTTAAGATTAATTGATCTTTTATCATCAGTTTCATCATCACCTATTATCTCAAAATCCATATCAAACACCAGTACCAAAAGGCAGCAAAGATTGAAAGCTCATGACTGGTTCATTGAAAAATCACCGCCCATTAGATTATCTGAATTAGGTTACTGGGATAAATTATTTTTGGTGATCGATATGGAATATGATAATGAAACTTGTGAAATAGATAATTATAATTCGATTGAAGATTCTGTAAATGAGTGGGTAGATTTAATGAATAAGGGTGTGAAACAATTAAGCATTGAATAATTTGCTATATTTATAAAAAGAAAGTATTTATTGAAATTGTTAGTTTTGGTTTTAATATATTTAATAATTGTTTAAACTTGATTTGGCTTATCGTATTTTTTCAGAAGTGCTTATTTTAATTATTAACAGGTTCAATGAAGAACTTGTAAATTTAGTTGATAATTCATGAGCGAATAAGATTTATATATAAAAAAAAATTATAATCATTTTTTCGATTTAGGTAGGTATAAATTATTAAAATACAACTTTAAATCATTAGTTGCAATCAGTGTTTCGAGTGAAACCCGATTCTGCAGATCAAATTGGGCGAAACTAGTTTCGGAGGGTTTCGACTTATAGGACGAAACTAAAATTTCTCTGGGCGAAACGTTTCGGATTTGGAAAATAGATTCGCCCGAAACACTGGTTATAATACACTAATTCTTTGCTTTTTACCAAAAATAAGCCCATTCACATGTGTTAAAGTTGGAGAACTGAATTCTTATTATAAAATTTTATATTGCACACGAGAATTAGATTTTACACCATATAAATTTTTTACATAATAATTAATAGTTATCCGGTAACTTATAACGATAGTCTGCCCTTATTATTCAGTAAATATTTCTAATTGAGTTGTACTTCACGGTTCAATTGTGTCAAATTACTAAAAAAAATTCAGTAAATCACGAGATACTAGTGTACTCATCTCATAATATATTCTACTAAGAAAATATTTCTTCGCGAAGAGTTAAACATATAATCACGAAGAGTTAAACATATAATCACGTAGAGTTAAACATATAATCACAAAAAGTTAAACATATAATCATGAGAAGTTAAGCATAAAGTATCGTAATCACGAAGAGTTAAAATGCTTATTTTCACGTAATCAATTTTATGATGCCGTGTAACGTAAACATATTGTATTAGTCAGCTGCTAAAAAAGAAAAATTCTTTCAGCCAAAACGCGTTCTTACCGTTCTACTTATTAAATCTCATAATTGCACCTCTAAGTGAGCAAAATTTTATAAACAAAGAAATGTTACAAACTATTGACTATAGAAATAGTGTAGTAGCAATCGCCATGAATAAACACAAATGCTACTACTTTATCTTTTTTTTCAAACCCATAAATACAGTATATCAAAAAAACAATTTGCAAAACATACTTCTAAAAATATTCATTCAATCTATATTGTTGTTACATCCAACAATTGCAGAAAGAGAGGCAGAAAACTATAATCAATAGCTGTATTGGCCTATTTCAAATTTAAAAAAGGTCTCTGAATGGCTTGAAATACTAAACAAAATATAAAAGAGCATACTGATTGCTTAATAATGAAAGCCATACAAATTTATTATAAAAAAAATTCATAATATTAATAATTTGAATTTTTGAATTTATAATAAATTTCTCAGATATAATATCTATATTAGAATGTTGTTACTTCTTTCACTTTAGATACATAATTAATATTTAAAGCACTTTTTTACCAGAAAGAGTTAAGAATAATAAGTGTTGATAGTTGAAAAAGATAATTGTGATGGTTTGTTAAAAATTAATTTATTGAACAAAATTTGAATTAAAAAATAATAAATTAATAATTTTTGAATAATTTATTTGTTTTTGTTGATTTTTCACATCAAATTTATAAAATTATAAAAATATAAAAATATAAAGTCATAGATATGTTTTATAATGCATACATCTAAATATGTATAAATCATACATAAACATAATAAATTACATTACTTGCTATTTAATTGTAAAAATGTTTGTACTTTTTTTTTATACATTAGCAGATGCTTTACTTTATACCTGGTATAAATAGTATAATAAATAAATAAATATTGTTTATTTAATATTTAATAACAAATTATTGTTACTACTAGTGGTGAAAATTGGGTTTCCATCCAAATTTATTAAACCTACTAAATCTATTATATCTTATTAACAGTTAACAACTCTAAATTCTACCTAGCTCTAAAAAAAAAAAAAAAATGCTCTTCAGAAAATTTTTGCTAATCTCAGCTTTAACAATAACAATTATTTTAATAGAGTTAATGCAGAATTTTTTATAAAAGTTTTATCTAATATTTTCTCTACTTCCAAGTCAAAATTATTATCTTTAAGATTCAAAAAAGTTAAACTTTTGTTTTTGTTAAGAGCATTGGCTATTGCTTTTCCACCTTCAGAACCAAGTTTATTCCATTCAAGATATAAAGAGGTTAAAGTATTATTCTTGCAAAGGGCATCTGCTAACACCTTTCCTCCTTCTGAGCCAAGTTGATTCTCTCCAAGATTTAAAGAAACCAGTGTAATGTTTTTACAAAGAGCATCCGATAATATTTTTAGGACCGATTTGATTATACCAAAGATTCAAAAAAGTTAAGGTATTATTCTTGTAAAGAGACTCCGCTAATGCTTTTCCTCCTTCGGAACCAAGTTGATTCCATTCAATATTCAAATATTTGAGAGTTTTGTTTACGCAAAGAGCTTCTGCCAATGCTCTACCTCCCTCAGGACCAAGTCGATTATATGGAAGATACAATGAAGTAAGAGTAGTGTTCTTGCAAAGAGCCTTTGCTATTATTTTTCCGCCTTCAGATCCGAGTTTATTTATTCCAAGATTTAAAGATGTTAGAGTGATGTTCTTAAAGAGCGCATCTGCAAATACTTTTCCTTCCATAAAGTCAAGCTGATTTTTAAAAAGATTTAAATCAGTCAATTTGGTATTTTTACAAAGGGCATCTATTAATGCCTTTCCTCCTTCAAATCCAAGTTGATTATTCCAAAGGTTCAATGAAGTTAAAGTGTTGTTCTTGCGAAGAGCCTCTGCCAATGCTTTTCCTTCCTTAGAACCAAGTTGATTATTTTTAAGATTTAAAGAAATCAGAGCGGTGTTCTTGCAAAGAGCTTCCGCAATCACTTTTCCTCCCTCGGAACCAAGCTGATTTTTATAAGTATTTAAAGATTTTAGAGTGGTGTTCGTGCATAAAGCCTTCGCTATTTCTTTTCCTCCTTCTGAGCCAAGTTGATTATCAGCAATTTCTAAAGAAATTAGAGTGGTATTTTTGCAGAGAGTTTCTGCCAATGCTTTTCCACCTTCGTAACCAAGTTGATTGTTTGTAAGATTTAAATATTCTAGAGTAATATTCATGCAAAGGGCCTTTGCTAAGGCTTTTCCTCTCTCAGGACCAAGTTGATTATTTTGAAGATTTAAAGAAGTCAAAGTAGTGTTCGCATAAAAAACTTTTGCAAATGCGATTCCTCCTTCAGAACCAAGTTGATTTTTATAAAGATTCAAGGAAGTCAAGGCAGTGTTTTTGCAGAGAGTATCTGCAAATGCTTTTCCTCCTTCAGGTCTAAGTTGGTTTTTACAAATACTTAAAGAAGTCAAAGTACTATTCTTGCATAAAGATTTTGCTAAAGCTTTCCCTCCTTCAGGACCAAGTTGATTATCATCAAGATCTAAAAAAGTCAATTTAGTGTTTTCGCAGATAGCCTCCGCTAATGCTTTTCCTTCCTCAAAACCAAGTTGATTATTTACAAGGTTCAAAGAAACCAGGGTAATATTCTTGCAAATAGCCTCTGTCAGTTCCTTTATTTTTTCTGTATCAAGATTTTTATTAGAAAGATTCTAGATCGAAGCATTGTTTTGATTTTCAATACTATGTTGGCTGTTGAGAATTTCATTATAAAGCTCTAATGACTTGACATATCTGCCATCATTAAAACATTCACGTGCTTCAGCACATTTATTCTCAAATATTGTGTCCGTTGAGCAAAGTGAACTTGATTCTGTAAAACTTGTACTAGATAAATAATGCGGCGATGACATTGATGAATTTACGACCTGTTGATTTGGGGGAAAAGTTTCATTGACAATAATGTATAGATTTAAATCATTATCTTCACTTAATCTTTCTTCAGAAATGAATTTACTTAAAGTTATATGAATAATATTTGCTTCTGGCCGATTAGTAGGATTCGCATTCCAACATCGTTCATAAAGCTCAACATACTGAGAAGGTGTCCCATCTATAGGTTCCTCTCTTTTTCCATTGGATATATGATAACAAAGCATCACGATTGGTTTAAATGATTGAAATGGTGGTCTACCGCTTGAAATTTCCCAAAGTATTACTCCGAAGCTATAAATATCTGATCTTTTATCACGTTTATATCCTTCGTTTGTAAAGCATTGAGGATCTATATAAGCAAGCATTCCATGGATAGTTGAATTTGAAGTTGTCAAGGTATCATTTATCTGTTTTGCCAGTCCAAAATCCGCAATCTTTAGCTGACTTTGATGAATTAAAATATTTTTTGAGTGCTATAAAATATATAGTTAAAAATTATCTTATAATAATTAACAATGATTTAAATATATAACTTCAAATATTACCAGATCTCGATGAATAATATTATTATCATGTAAGAATACAAGACCATACGCTATTTCCTCGGCAATATCAGTTTTTCTATCCATTTCAATTTCATAAAATTAGTCCTCAAATATTCACGCAAATTTCCATTGTCAGCGTATTGTTAAACAATATTATAATGTCCATAATTGTCTGTTCGTTTATAAATTATTTAATTAATGTAGTTTTCTATATCGTGCTCTTAAATAAAAAATAAAAAACATGGACACACCCTTTGTAAATCCATAGAATGTAATAATATTTGGATGACAGTCAACTTTTTGTAATAACCTAAGCTAAATATAAAAATTAATCATATAAATTATATGATACAGTACCAAAAATAAGTTAATAATTATTATATAGCTAAATCCTACCTCTTTAATGAATCCTTTAATAACTTCTTCATTTAAAGGTTCGTCAATAGCTTTAAGGTATTTGAGTGCGACTGTTAATTTACTACCTTTCCATTCATATTTAGAAACCGAACCAAACCCTCCATCACCGATTCTTCCAATGTAAGTAAATTTATTATATTCAAGATAATTGATATATCCTTCGAAACAGTTTTTTGGAGCCATTCTTCTGAA